TCCTCCGTGAGGCCTTCCCAGACCTTCTCAGAGCGTTACCTGAGATCTCTTCTTCCTTCATCCCGTAGATGTGCACACACACAACTCCACTCTGTCCTCCCTCCTCAGCTGCATCGCAGTCCTCTGCCTGTGCCTGTCTTCCACCCAAATAGGAGTCTCTTAAGGAGTAGGACGAGTCATTTCCTTCTACAACTCATTCAATAAACCTGGAGCTCAGAGTCCTGACTACTGTTTACAAGTTAGGAGAACATATACAAGGTCCCTAACATTTTTCATTCTCAGCTTCTTCATATGCAAATTGAGACAATGATGGAATATTTTTTATAAAATTATTATAAGCAGTAAATAAACTAAGGCAAGTAAACCTTTAACATAATGCTAGTGTAAGCCACAGCTAGTGTTAGGATAGGCATGAGGGAATGCTAACTCAGCCCACGGAGGGTGCTCATGTGATATGATTACTGTGTGCCAAGCATGGCTATGAGCAAGGACAAATAAGGCCCAGCCTCGAGGTCTGTAGAGTGTAACGGAAGATACAGACAGTTAGTGCGACATGAGGCACCTGCTGCTGAGGTTGAACGTCCTTCCTGGGGAAGGGATAGCAAGGGGGGTGAATCTGGAGGTGGGGAGGACAGGTAAGTGCTATTTGTGTGCTCCACTCACAGTGTGCTTCTGGGGCAAGGAAAGGGGGGGCCAAGTACCTTGGCTTTAACTGGAGCAAAGCCAGATAAACCATAAGAATAACTTTAGCTCACTCTGACTTCAACATAGGCTGGAAAATAACAACTATGAAAGTTCTTCGAGAGCTTTCGGCCCATATAACTCACTCTTGGTCTATGTTCCATGCCATGGGCATTTATTAAGCACTTACTACATGCCAGGCAGTGTGCTACACGTGTTAGCCCCACTGAGATCATGCTGTAGCTCCAGTGTTGGTGAGAATCCTCCCACCTTTATAGATAAAACAGCTGCAGCTGTGTCACCAACGGAATGTCTTAGCTCCTACCATGGCTAGATGTAGCTTAGGATGTTGCCGAAGATTTGTCTGTTGGCAGCATGGACCTCAGTGTGGTGATATGAGAGGTGGTAAAATCGTTAAGTGGAGGTAGACAGGAAGTCTTTGGGGACACTACCTCCAAAGGAATGGATGTAGTTCTCATGCTACCTGGTGAGCTGGAGAGGAGTTATAAAAGAGCATGGGTGGCCCGCGCCCATTCTGTGCTTCCTGTCCTGTAATCCCTCCTGTGCAGTCTCCACCAAGATGAAATCTACCAGGATGCACTATGTACCAGGGAACCTCACCAGAGCCAGTGCATGTAGTGTGGACTTCCAGCCTGCAAAGATGTGCGCTAAATAAACCTCTTTTCTCTATAAGTTACTCAGCTTCCAGTGTTTTCATACAGCAATAGAAAATGCCCTAAGGTGGCTCCTTCTGGGAGCCCTAGCCACATATACTTCTCTAACTTTGACCTATCACCATTTCTTATCTCACCTTTCGGGTCCCCCAGCTGATAGTAGGAAAGAAGGAGAAATTGGAGAAAGTGAATCCCACCCAGCGGAAAGGTGAGTCAGAAGATGGGGAAAGTAGTACCTGAAAAAGAAAAAGAATTGGCCAACCCCTGGTATGGTAAGAGCCACTTTGGAGAACAACTCGGAAATAGCCGGTAATAAACTACATACCCTGCAGCCCAGAAATACCAATCCTCCCAACTCACATCAAGTCCATACCCTGGAACATATGGACAAGAATTTTCACAGCAGAACTGGGTTGCAAAATACTGGAAACAACCTAAATGGCTGCCATTCATATCCAAATAAAGAAACAATATACTAGAGCACAGAGCAAAGGAGCTAGAGCCGCCTGGATCCATACAAATACCTCCAGTAAATACAATTGCAACTAAGATGCAATTTGCAGAAGAGTGTGTGTAAGTGCTACCCTGTACAGACAGTTAAAAAGCACATTGCTGACGGATGTGCTGTGTGTAGGAAAAGGCGGAAGGAATGACTGGGTGTGACAGACGCCCAGTCGGAGATCGTGAGGATGCCCAGCAGAAGGGAGAGGCAGAGCAGGGCGGCATCCAAGGGGTGCGGGAGGGGGCTAATCAGTGATGTCTTCTTTCTTTCGCTGGATAATTCGCGCCTGGGTTTTTATTTTATTATTCTTCATCTCTTCTGTGCATCTCCACATCATTATATTATTCTGGAGGAATGTTAAGGAAAGAAAAAGGGAAAAAAACACTCGAGGAAGTTTCCAGAGAAAACAAAGAGCAGCAGGGTCGCACCGCCGTTGCCAGATTGGACACACGACTCATTCTTTTCTGCCCTCTTGACGCTCCAAGACACTCAAACAATTCAAGGTTTCTGGGCTCCTCTGAATTTGAGGTTTATTTGGTGCCAGGGTGGACCCAGGTGCCAAATTCCAACTCTGAAAATGTCGGAAGCTCCACAGGGGGATTTGCCAAGAAGCAAATGCAGAGCCAGGTTTCCCATCAGGAGAGATTAGCGCCAACTCAGGCTCCTCGGGTGGCGCTAATGGCTCCTGTCGGAGATGCAGAGCATTGCCTCAAGAGTGTGCTCCCAAGTCATTACAAGAAACGTTATGGGAAGAAATAAAAGAATACGTAGTTCTCCCCTAGCCTCACTAAGATACCGACGAGGAGCAGCCAGCGGAGCACACAGCAGACACAGCCCTGCAAACAGCACACTGAGAGGCCACGCCGTGCTCCTGAGCGCCTCCCCTGGCGCTCCCAGAGACCCTTCCTCACAGTCCCCACCAGCAGCACGACCACCTCAGGAGCTTCAGCCCGCTCAGCCCCCGCAGGGGTGCTGAGCCTGGAACCCTGGTCCTTGAGGTGGACTGGGCAGTTCTCCAAAGCTCAGGACAGCGGCAGCCTGTGCCCCTGGATGTGGTTAGAGACTACGGCTGACTTGTGGAGGCAGGAAGGGGGGGTTGCTGATCATAACTTCGGGTGCAGACGCGACATCACCAGCCTCCAACGCTTCAGTATCCTCACCATTTTCCCAAGCCCAATTTTCCCTGAGGAGATCTCTTCTCTCTATCCCCTTCAATCTTGCCCTTTCTGCCAAAATTGCTCTCCTTTGGAGGCAAACAGTTCTGTTTCTCCTTTGGAATGCATCCTATCTCCTCCTTAGTAACTTTCTGGTCAGTGCACGGAATGTGATTTACATTACTGACCAGAGCGCACAAGAACAAAGCAATGGCCGGGCTTCCCAGCTGAGCACCAGCGTGCGGCTGGGCAGTCTCCCAGGGCTGGGGGTGGTGGGGCAGGGTGGGAGCCGAGAGCCTGCATGCTGTCCTCTCCTCTGCAGTCTTCCTCTCGGAAGCCATGGGCATTTCGTGGCAATGCTTACGGCTGCTGTGGGCTGTGGGTGACCCGGAGGTGCTGGGGGCGCCTGAAGGGAGACGCTTTGCTCTTCTGGGATTAGCTGCTAGAACTGCAGGCTTCAGAGCTGACTCACCCAACAAGGCCTGGGTGCGAGCCAAGGAGCAATGGAAATACTCTCAGGTCCCACATGCTGCCCTTGGCTGTGCCAGCCCAGCCTAGGAGGGGGCCCAACCCAGGGAGTCAAGGGCTTTCTGCAATTATCAAAGCTTTTTCTCTACTGGGGCAGAATGCATTCCCCTCCCAAGGATGGACCACAAAGCAGACTGTCCCTGTCTCTCCAGAGTGGCCATGAAGTTTAGCAAACTGCTTCTGCCTTCTCCAGAAAGCCTAAAAGCACACATGGACAGACAGGTGTGCCTGCTCTGGAAGACAACTCTGGCAGGAGGCGCCTTAGCCAGAGTTCACCTAAACCTCCAGGCCTGGCTGCCAGGGGGACCAGCCTCCTCTGCTGCTTCTTTTATTTGCTAATCCCAAACAAGCCCACGGGACCTTTTCCTTAGAAAAGGTTTCCTGGCAATTGCTACCATGTTAACCAGAGGGACAACACAAGTAACAGCCCCAAGAATACAAGCTCATCATTGGCAATTTCAAAGAGATTTTACTTGCTAGCTGTAAGTTTAGGCATGGACACAAGCCCCTCCATGTCCCGTCCAGGCCTCCAAGCACCTTGGGGGTCCACACAGGCTCTTCAATTTCTTCTAGAACCTTTTATAGAATGCTGACGCTTTAGCCAAGCGCCCTCTCTGGACTTCTCACCTATATGCCTCAAGTGGTGGCTCTCCAGCTCCTGAGAAATCCTTCCCCTCATGGCCTGCTCTGCCACAAAGTCAGGAAGAGAAGCACATCCATCTCTGGACCTCAAACCAAAGCCAGATAGTGGGCCAAAAAAGTCTAAGCCAAACTGCTTGGAAAGCAGACCACTAAACTGAGCCTGCCCTCAAGGAACATCCTATCTACCTTTCTCACTTTGCAAGTGGCAGGTGAGGTCCCAAGACAGGACCCCAGATTTGTGCCAACACAAGTTTCTGGATGTTTTTTAAATGGCTCACAACCCTCTTCCTGCCTGGACATTTGCTAAAATTCCCAGACCCACACAGAACTAGGAAACGGCAACCATTTTTCTGCCAGAATGAAACTTTAGAAAAAGGTTTTCCTCTTATGATAGGTGGCTGGCAGCCCCGCAGGGTGGACACTTCTGTCCTCTTCTTGTGCCTTACCTCCTCACAAGTAGAACCTCAAAGACTCTCTTGAAACCCCACAGTGTGGGCTCATTGTTCCTGTGTTAAATGGCCCGTCCCTTTTCAACAGGTGCACTTTTTCATTCTTTAGTCTCAGTTGCTATTCTACCCACAATCCCTCAGGTGCAGACTCTCTCACCAACTGGCCTTTTCTTCATACTGAACCCCCTTGCTCTGGCCTTTTTGCGTCTGACCTGAGCTGTGCCCACCTGCCCCCCGTCGCTCACCTGGAAACTGTACCTAGCATAATCACTGCAGTCTCCATAGCTCCAGCACTATGGCGAGCCCCGGGCAAATGTTCCACAATCCCAAGGCACATGTGCGCGGATGAGATCCAGTCACAGGCAGGACACAAGTGTTAAATACTTCCGCTTTATTCGCCGCAGGCTGTCATCACCTGCAGCCAGCTCCCTTGTATACACAGTATACACGCCCAGCCAGGACCCAGGTCGTCCCTTCCTTCTACAGTGCATGGAATGCAAAAGAAGCAAGTACAGCGTGGGGCTCTAGCGATGGCAGTGCCTGGGGCCTCAGGAGCCGACCCCCAGGCTGGGGAATCCAGCCCCTCAAGCTCTCCTTGGCCCGCAACCTCCTCTCTGGTATTGAGGATATTCGGGCGAGGCGCCTCCTATCAGTGCACACAGTGGGTAAAAGAGGCTTGGGGATCCTACGCCCAAGGCCTCACTGGTCTCCACCCCACTGAAGAAATTGCTGGCGCTCCCTGAAGGCTCCTCTGCTCGCTCAGCCACGAGATGCCACCGTCGCTTCCTGTGCCATGGCCTGTGCGTCAAGTCATCTCTCAGCTCTGGGAAGCCTGGCTGGCCTAAGGAAGTGTTCAAAGACAAGACAAACTTCCCAAATTGTCTTGGTCATAGTATTGGATATTTTGGTTTTGGGAGTGGGGAAGGGGGGCTCTGCTGTTGTTTTAAGGAAAGGAAGGAGCTGCAGGAAGAGCGTGGAGACCCGGCTTGTGTCAGGAGTGAGAGTGGTTATCCCTCCTTGAAATGATCTGTGAAGCAACTGTCAGTAAACAGCACCCACCAGGGAGCACTCAGCCCTCTGCCCACCCCACGCAGCCCCTACCCCACCCTCTCCTCACCTGGGAGAGAATACACTGACCAGACACCAGCAGGACCCCCCTTTTGCCTGCACCCTGGGGTCCTTTTGTCTCCGAGCCTCACAGTGTGAGGAAGGGGATTCCTTCCTGCTCCATCCTTCAAGAGTGTCAAGTGTCGCCTGCCCTGCTCCACAAAGGCCTTCCACCTTACCAGAGCTCTGGCCACATTCTCTAGCCTAGGATTAGACCAGTGTCAAAAGGCCACAGACCAGAGGCCTGGCTGGCTGGCTGCTTGCTTTGTGGATTTTGACTATGAAGGAAACCTCAGGAAAGGACTGAGCCCCTCTCCCCAGGGAAGGTTCATGCTTTGATTTAATTTCATTTGATTCTTCACTGAGTTCCTGGACTTAGCCCGCATTGAAAAGCAGAATACCCCCTTTCCACTCGGGGGCATCTGCACCTTCAAGGAATACCCTGCTTGGCCAAAGGACCTCTGTTCCCACCCTATCTCCCCTCTTGGAGCTATAGAAAATGCCTAGGTTTTTACCCCTGCCACATTAACAAGCCAGAAGTGTCTCCAACCGTTCCTTCTAGCAGCTTCAAAGGCCTCTGGATCAGGTTATGACTCTTGTTGCCTCCTGAACAGCTCCCGAGGAACCTGAAGCGAGATACCCCCTCCCCGCCTTCACGTCTGGAGCCCTGCGTTGGCCTGCATCACACCTTCCTCCCTCTGGCTGGCCGAATTGCTCTATGAAGATGACAGTTGGGCATGGTGGGAGCACCAGGTTACCTCTGTCCCTGGGGACAGGGTGGGTTCCCAGAGAGCATAATCTGAGGTAGCAAACAGACAACCCAATTCACAGCTGGAGAAGTGATATGCCATGCCCAGCACAGACAGCAGGAGCATCCGGAGGGAGGGAAGAAGCCCAACTTGAAACCTGAGGTGCTCTTCTGGGCCCTCCTGGGAACATCTGCTCCCTCCCAACATGCACAGGACTGTGGTCACTGGGAAGATTCTCAGAGGCAATGTAGGGCCTGTGGCGAAAGTCCACATTGGGACTGGAGCGTCCTCTTCCCTGTCCCAGGGCAACAGTCCCCAGTGCCTAGTCGAGCTGAGGACACACTCACTGGCCCAGCCCCACAGCCAGCAGGACCCCCAGGTCTCCCCTCATGTTCCTGCCTCAGCCATCTGACAAGCACCAGCATCTGTCAGCCATGGCTCCCTCTAGGCAAAGCGGGTAACTCCAAGGGACTTTCTCCTTTTTCCAAAAAGCCTCTGAGCACACTAGCAACAGCCCTGCCCCTAGTCTACTTCCTGGATAGTGGTGGTAAGGAGAGGCTCGCTTTTCCAGGGTGGGCCCAGTTGGAAGATGAGGAACCCTGGGACTCTGTCCCCACCCACAGCTTCCCCAGCAGAGGAACCCAGGCTCCAGTTGTTGCAACCCCACCAGCCCCTGCTTCCACCCGCCACGACAATCCTCACTGATTGACCTGTGTCAGTCAGAAGACAAGAGAGGTCTGAAAGCACCGTGAAACCCTGCTTTGTTCAGAGATGGCTCAGTGCCCCAGGGCCACCTGAGGGTGCCACGCTGCTGAGCCATGACTCTTCCAGCAGCGTGTGGCCCCTCTGACAGGGGCTGGGGTCCCTGAAGTTCTCCCTGGGAGAAGTCCATCCTCTAGGTCCCTTGGAAGCTGGGCCTCAGCACCTTCTGTCCAGCACCCACGCCTTGTAGCCTCTCCCCGAAACTGGGCCCCCGGGGAATGGGGCATGAGGTAGACTGTGTGTGAGTTAGCGTCCCATGCCCAGTCCGGGGAGGAAGGAACCACTCATCCCAATCCATGGTCCTTGTCCTGGATATGAGTGGCATGGTGGCACAGGCCGCTTGTCACCCTTCCCTGCACCAGGTAGCCAGAGCACTGGCACAACAGTGGGATGAAGAATGAGGGGGGAAGGGACAGTCCCATTCAGCAGGGCCTCAGGATACAGAAGTCCAGCTCCTGGGGCTTGCGACGCAAGTTGCACTGGTCCCGGGCCAGCAGCCGGTTTCCGTGACCCACACACTTGAGTGGACGCCTCTTAAACCCCCGGCCACAGGTCTTGGAGCAGGGTGACCAGGTCCCGAGCTCCCAGGTTGGGCAGGGTTCCCCACAGGCTCGCATCTCCGCCGGCCGATGGGCTGCATCGCACGCGGAGGCCCTGTGCTGTCCTGATGAGCCCTGACAGTCCACTGCTCGCTTCTGCAGGCCATTGCCGCAGCTAGCGGAGCAAGGTCCCCAGCTGCCTGCCACCCAGCGCGCAGGAGGCCTGTCATCGGGCTGCTCCACTTGGTTGGAGAGGCGGAGCACGCTGTTGTGCAGCACGGGGGGCGCGCGCGGCTCCTTAGGAAGGGAGGTCTTGTCTTCCCAGGGCTCTTTGGGCAGGTAGAAAGAGTAACGAACCCGTGGTGGTGTCATTTTCCCCACAGAGAGGACCTCCACAGTCAGGGGCTCCTGGATGGGCCGGGAAGCCTGCAGGCTCTCCACCGCTGTGCCCGTGCCGCTGTACCGCAACAGGCTTCCCTTCACCACCAGGTCCCGCTCCACAGCCGACACCACGAAGTGCCCATTGAGCAGGTACTTGCCCTGGCTGTTCTTCACGGCCAGGTAGTTGTCATCCCCAATCAGCCCCTTGTAGCCGCGCTGGCGGATGTCGATGCTGGAGGCGCCGACAGGGAGGGCAACCACGAAATTGTAGCCATGCCTTGGGTAGGAAACAGGGATTGTTCATTAGACAGATGCCTAGGCCTTAGAGCTGCACTGCCTTTTAAAGTGGCAACCGATTCCTTTTGGCAAGCTCTGGGCCAAGCTGCAAATGTGGCGGCACAGTGCAAAGAGGAACTAGGCCGTCCCTGGCCCCGGGGAAGCACGAAAGGAAGGCTGGTACACGGGCTTGTTGTTGGCTCACCTAAAAGTGCATACACTGGTTATGGAACTTATCTTTTAGCAAGTGCCAGTGAGAGGACTAAAGACACAAGTTCTAGAGTCAGAGAGATCCCCGTCCCTTGCTTGGCTACCGATCTTGGAAAAAAAAAAATCTCAATTTTTCTTAGCTTCTATTTCCTCACTTACCAAATGGAGTACACAGTTACACAAGTCCCATCCAGCTCTAAGGAGGATTAAAGAAGCCGTAGCCTGTAAAGCACATAGCTGAGTTCCTGGCCCAGGGAGGACTCAGGGTATCCACCATGGAGGTGGGGGAGGGGAGGGAGGAAGTCTAGAGTGCCTGAGTCGGAACCTGCAGCTCTGTGCATTGACAGCCCAGTAGCCTGAGGGCCAGGGCTACAGATCCAGCCCTGGTTCAGGCACCAACTTCCTGGGGTCTTTCAGCAGATCAGTGTCTCTGGGTTTGGGCATCCTTCTCTGTACAAAGAGTGGGCTAAGCCAGGTGGCTTCTACAGCTCCTGACAGCCTGTCCCTTTAACCAGTTGAGCAGATCTAATGCCCACATGGCTACTTTGCTGTAAATCCCCAACTAGGACAGCCCTGAACACATCTATCTACAGCACCCAAGTTTCCAGAGAGGGAGCTTTGTTGCCCTCCAAAAGAAGCAGCAGAGGGTGTCACATCAAGAGGGGACAGGCTGGGCCAGCGACATAGCTCAGTAGATTAAGTGCATACTTTGGCAAGCATAGGGACCAGGGTTTGATGCCCAGTCCTGCATGTTGTGCCAGCCCTACCCTCCAGGCGTACCGAGCCAGCCACAGAGACCAGGCATGGTGGTGCATGCCTGTAATCCCAGCACTGGGGAGGCTGACAACAGGAGGATCACTATGTGTCTGAGCTTCATAAATACATAAAATTGGGGGGAAAAAGAGGGGACAGTCTTACTCCCGAGAGGACAGTCATCTGACCCTCCAAATTTTTTTTTAATTTATGTATTTGGTGCAGGGCCCCACTATGCAGCTTGGACTCGTAGTGATCCTCCTGTTTTCAGCCTCCCCAGCACTGGATGACAGGTGTGCACCATCATGCCTGGTCTCCACGGCCAGCTCAGCTCACCCAGGAGCAGGGCTAGCACAGCATGTGTTGCCAAGGATTGAACCCTGGTCCCTGCACTTGTCTAAGCACACACTTAGTCCGCTGAGCTATCTCGCTGGCCCGACTGAACCCCCACATTTTCATACTCTTTGCTCTGATATGAGAACTCTGCCTGCATCTCCCGCAAGACTGTCAAAGGAGAGTGTTGTTGATCTCACAAAGCTCCAGGTGGGGGGAGACACACATCTGCGCCACATTTTCTGGGAAGCAGAGGCTCTTTCCATCCCGGCCATTTGTAGCTGTCCCTTAGCTGTTTGCTCCCATTCATGTGACTTGTATTAATACTATCCTCACATTACAAATGAAGATGCCTAAAAATCAAAAGATTGAGCAACTTGCCTAAGGTCATGCAGAAAATGAGGAACTGAGATTCGAATGCAGGTTTGATCCTGCTCCAAAGCCTAGACAGATTGTAACAACACTGCCATCTCCCTGCCTATCACCTCCTCCTGTTGAGGTGTGTTCTCCACTGTTTATCTGTGCCGAATGGATGCATGGATGAATGGTTGGATGAGTGGGTCGGGTGGAGGGATGGATGGGTGGACACATAAGTATCAGCCCTAGCGCAGTATGAACAGGCTCCATGGAAAGTATATGCCAGGATCTGACCTTCACCCCAATCTAATTCCCAGTGCCTGGGGGAATTCCAGCCACTCGCCTCCCACCTTCTCCCTGCTGTACCCTGCAGGGCCCAGAACTCACATGGGCTTGGTAAAGAGTCCCGTCACCCTCTTGCAGCTCTTGTTGTCGCCCCCACACACCCCACACTTGTCAAACTTCTTCTTGGAGCCCAGGTTGCCGTCGCAGCCGGCCTTGATGCACTTTCCTTGGACGCAGACCGAGGTGGAGTCAGGAGAACACAGTGTCCCGTCCACCACCTGCAGCACCCCAGGGAGGGAGAGGAGAAGAGGAAAGCAGCTCAGCCAGTGCTCCCCTCAGTGGGCTCCCCCTGCTCGGTCTCTGGCCCCAGCTCGCTCACCTTGGGTGCCAACACATAGAAGTAGCCGGTGCCGTTGGCTCTGCAAATGAGCTTGCACTTGTCCCGGGGAGACACCCCCGAGTACTTGGGCACCCACGCCACAGCCAGAGTGAGCCTGTTGGTGCTGTGGTTGTAGCCATTGAACGCTTCACACTGCTCCTCACGGAAGCTCTTGCCTGATGCTAGGTAGGGAGAAAGCACAGGCACAAAACTAAAGGGAGGAAACAGAAGCCAGCAGCCCTCCCACTGTGCCCAGCACCTGAGCTCTAAATGGCTCCTCCCGCCCTCCGCAGTGTGGCGCCCCAGCTCAAAAGGACTAAAGAGGCGGGAACCAGAAACGCAGCACACCGAGCAGGACACAGTCCTGAGCAATGCGCCACCCTTTCTTCCTTCACAGACCTGCTAGATGTGGTTTGGATAATGAAATCCTTCAGCAGTCAACTGAAACTGTTCTCATCATAGGGTTATTACTGCATAAAATAAGTTGCAAGGATTTACAAAGATGCCAATTGCACTGATCTCAATGGTCAATATATTTTGAAATATACATGTGGTACCCGTGCTGCTGTTAGTGCACTGAGCAGTAAGATTTGCTAAGAACTCCAGTAACAACTGTAATTCTGAAGCAGAATGATCACAGGTAGCATTCTGGGAATTCTTCAACCAGAATGTCCCATGGAAAGACCCATGATTTCTGTTGGTGACAAAGTGACAAATTTATTGCTACTAAGGTTATAGTTCACTGCTTAAGTAAAGGAAATGTTAAATTTTAGATGGAAAAGATAGTTTTTCCTTAAGCTAAATTTCCAATTGTAGGAAATACTGTTTTAGACAGAAACATTTACAAAATAGAGGTTCAGTTCTTCCCCCATCAAGATCTTACTGTCTCATCCCTTTGAGTCAGTCGGCCTCCTAGCCTAAGTACATGGAAGAAAACATCCTTGCCACGAGGCAGCAGGCTGAAGGAGGCCCTCCAGAAGACTCTGCACCCTGCACTTCCTGGCTCTGTCCTGGGGAGTGGATCCCTCTGTGGCCCTGGCCTATGTCGAAGGGGTGGCAGAAATTGTTCTTCAAGGTCCCCTCCCAGGTCTTAGGGCCTTCCCGCCTCACCTGACGTGGGGCAGGGATCCAGGTTGCAAGACCGGTACTTCACCCGCACCCCCTCGCAGTACTTGCCACCATTGGCAGGGGAGGGGCTGCTGCACTGCCTTCGGGCCAGCTGGACGCCTCCACCACAGGTGCGCGAGCAGGGACCGTAGGGCTCCCACTTGGCCCAGGAGCCGTCCACCTGCAAAGAGGAGCCTGTTAGACTCCCACAGGGCTCCGCTCCAGGTGCCACTGCTGGGCCCTTAGTCTGTAGGAAAGCTTGCTGGCACTGCCTCCAAGTTCCCATCCTGCCCCCCTGGATGAAATCTACCTTATGTCATGAGAAGCAAATGATAAGCCAATGATCCACATGCACCGGGCCCACACAACACCTCAAGCAATTAATGAGCAAACACCAACTGCTCTCAGTTATAAATGAAATCACTCAGAAGAGAGACTCCTCCCTGGGCTGCAGGGTGAGGCAGATCAGTTCTATAGTCCCAAAGGTGGGCCTGCGTTGGTGGCCAAACCTCCCTGTGTTTTACATGCTTCCCCTGCAAAAATGGGATGATAAGACTCGGGTCTGAGTTTGGTAGAAGCTTTAAATGAGCTGACACAGGGGGCCTGCCCCTTAGCTCAGTTCTTTAAGTGGCTGCTTCAACAAAGCAGTCAGGCTCAGGTTGCTGTGGTTCGATCCCCACAGCTCCAGCCAGCCAAACCTGCCCTGAAGACATTCAGAGGGAAAAAAAAAATCCTTATAAGGGGGCCAGGGAGTTGGCTCAGTGGAATAAGCACTTCTCTGGCAAGCGCAAGGGCCTGAGTTCAATCCCCAGTTCCACAAAAAAAAAAAAAAAAAAATGAGCTGATGTATATGAAAACTCCTAGCACCAGGCCTGGCGCTATACAGAAACTCAGAGCTTCTGCTTTTCTACTTATTGTTAGCACATCTACAAAAGTCTAACCTTCCCGCAGGCCCAACCTAAGCCAGGAAGCAACGTTGCCACAGATGCTTAAATATTTTAATTTGTAAGTATTCTGTAATTCAGACTTTTTCCCAACTAAACTGACATTTTACCTTATTCAGGTGCTGCATTTGAGAAAGTTTCCTTATAAGTAGTAATAATTCTGGATTAAGAAGACACACAAGTGAAAAACTGCTGAGCAACCCTTAAACTCTATGTGGCTTTGTAACAAATTGCAGAGTGGGATGTTTGCTTGTTTGTTGGTTGGTTGGTTGTTTTAAGAGGGTTGGGTGGGGATAGAAAATTTATAGCCTACCATTCATTCATTCTTTCTCTTTCTCTCTCTTTCTCTCCCTCCCTCCCACTCTGTCTTTCTGAGACAGGGTCACATTATGTCTTGCAGGCTGGTCTTGAACTCACTATGTAGCCCAGACTGGCCTCCAACTCACAGCAATCCTCCTGACCCTGAGGCAGCCTCCAGAGTGCTGGGATTACGGGCAGAAGCCACCACGCCCCGCTTGCATTGTTTCTCTTAGGATGATAGCAAAATGGGTTTCACCCCCTGAATGCACAGAAATTGGGCAAGAGAGGGAGCAACCCAGCCCCATGAGTCTAGGATTCAACTGTCATAGATCATCCATTCAGTCACTGACCCACATGGACCTAATCAGGAGCTGATTGTATGAAATAGAAGTACATCTACTGTGTACACATTCGGGGCAGTCATCCCATCTGTCAGCCAGACAGCTCTTGTTTCCTGTGTACCCACCACAAGCAGAAGCTGCTCTCTCCAAGTCAGCAAGGACCAGCTGAAGGATGAAGGCGTCTAGGCTGAGGTCTTACGTGTCCATTTTCTCTCCTGTACTGGCAGTCACTACAGCACCGTTACTGCACAGTGTCATTTGTTTCTCTTCCCACCCATCTGTATAAATTGTTCACTGTGCTCCTTCTTTCAATGATCAAATATTTACTACTCTCCTACTACACACTTGACACCATGTATGGCAAGTTCACACCCTCAAGAGCCGAGTGGGGGAGAGAAACAGTAAAAATAATCCAGAACGTGTAGCGTCTTGGAGAGCAACTGGGAGGACCCCAGTGCAGTAGGTTCTGCATCAGCACGCATCAGGGAAGTCTCAGTATGAACTCGAAGCACAGGTGCGAGCCGGGCAGACTGAAGAAAGAGCATCCCAGAGGCAGCACACGAAGGCCCTCGGGAGGGGCACACCGAGAGGAAGAGCACCAGCATCACAGAAGCAGAGCCAGCAAGGGAGAAACAGGCAAAGGCGAGGCTGCGGGGCACATTCCATGCCAGATGGAGAACACCTGATGGGCTCCCAGCAGGAAAACAGCGCATCCCAATTTGAAGTTTAGAAGGATTCTCCTGTTCCATGTTGGGAATTGGCCATGAGGAGTAAACAGCGAGAGGTAGGAGGCCAGTTGGGAGCGACTGACATCATCTGGGGAGGGGGATGGTGGCCGGAGGACAAGCAGAAGAAGCAGTGAGATGTGGGGTCCAGAGGCTTAGACAGAGCCAATGAGTGTGAGCCACATGGTATGAGGTAACCAAGAGGAAAAGGGTTGTAGCAGGAACAGCGGGAAGAGGAGCTGCCTGAGCAGTCTTCTGGGAAGGGACCAGGAGCTCAGCCTTACAGCTGCTGTGTTCAAGGCGCCCACCAGGTATCTGCACAGGGTTGCTAAGAGTCACCCAGACAAGGAGGCCTGTAATTCAGGAGAGAGTCCTGGGCTGGAGACAAGCTGGAGGGCTTTCACCACAAAGATGGTATTTTAAAGGTTCAGTCTAGAAGAATGATCTGAAAGACTGAGTGGGGACTGGGGGCGGGAGCGAAGGACTGGGCCGGAGCACAACAACCCGTAGAAAATGAGGAGAGAGAAAAAGTGAAGGCATGTGAGGGGCAGCTGGGAAGAGAAGTAGAGAATGCATAACACAGTGGGCGTGGGGGGGTGGGCAGGAGGCTGTGCCCCAGGGGTGGAGGGGGGCTGCAGCATCTCAGGGTAGGAGCAGGGACTGAACACCAAACGGCCCGAACAAGAGCTGTTAGGAGGAAGGCTGAGAGTGAAGTCCTGTTTTGAATGAGCTCTGGAGAAAAGATAGAAGAAAGCAGAGCGTGCTTGCATGGCTCTTCCAAGGAACTTCACTACAAAGGAAGTTGGAGAAACAGATTGCGTATTTGGAGAGGCCATAGGACCCCACAAGAGGTTTTGATTAAGAGTATAGAAGTCACGCAGGTTTGTACCCTGATAGGAATCATCCAGCTCAGCTCCAGAAAGAAGAAAACTGACACTGCAGGAAAGTAAGCAGGCTTCACAGATCAGCTCCGTGGGAAGGACTTGAGAGAGAAAGCCTGACCCCGCCTCACTCCAGCTTCTGTCTGGCTGTGTGGCCTCTCCCCTTTGCATGCACTGTCACTGTGACGCCACAGTGACACATGAGATGATACAGCCAAGGAGGCCCTCATCTGAGCCTGCATCGTGTTGGGACTTGCAGCTGCCAAGACCAAGAGCTAAGTAAACCTCATTTTGTTGTAAGTATTCAATATCTAGTAGTTCGTTACAGTAACAGAAAATTGAGTAGGATGCCAGTGACAGTGAAAATGAAAACAAAGAGCTGGTAATGAGAAGAAAGAGATGGAGGGGTGAGCTCCCAGACTGGAGAGCTGGGAGACCCCTGGACAGCATGGTGGGCCTACCTGAGGGTCCAGGGTGAGGCAGAGGCCAGACAGCACCACTGGGTGTGTCCCTCTGGCCACACTCACCCAAGTAGGCACACCTGAGGGGCAACTTGGCTGGACTCAGCCAGGGGATGGCTATGCCAAGTGAGAACAGCAGAGAGGTAGGGGGAGGCATCCAGCAAGCATGCGTCAAGTGACTCCATTAGGAGGAAGCGAGGGTGAACTGCATCAAGGGACTGCAGGCCCAGCAAGCAGCCCTGAAGGACTGTTCGAATCCCAAGCCAAAGAGGGTGAACAGAGAAGCTGGGTTGCGCACATCAGAGTGAGTTCTGAAGGCGAGATCCCTGAGGCTTCTGTGATGGTTAAGGTGGGCTTGTGTGTTGACCTCTGCTGATAAGAGCAATGGCCCCCACAAAGGGTGGGCTTCAGTTAAACAAGGTGAGTCCAAGACTGTTGAGGAGAGGTGGAGGAAACACTGGATTCTGCTGATAATAGACAACTCCAGAAATTACACGAAAAGATTGTGCTTTCCAGAAAACATTTTCTCTATCCAAAACCATATTTAGCTTCTTGACTCTCTGGACTCCCCTGGCCAAGAAAACGACCTTACCCAGAAGCCTCCAGCCTCACCCATCAGCCTGGCCTGCACACTGGCTGCGCTGTGGCTCCAAACTACCTTCCCCTTTCTAACACAGGTCTCAGCTAGCAGCCTCTGTGTCTCTCAGATCCACCTCCCTGGCCTGCTCCATCTCTACCTGTTGTGAGCCTGCTCACCTCAAGGGTCTCTTCACATCCCACCTCCTCTCAAAGTTGACTTTGTGCCGCCACTTCCTCCTCGCCACCATTGGGAATCTCTCACTCTTGCCCTCCTAACACCCAGCATGCACCCCTGTGTGTCTTGCATGCCTGTGGTACTTGCAGCTCACCCAACAACTGTGAGCTCTGAGGCACGGCCTATCTTTTATTTCTTTTTCTGACATCATGTTTGGCTCAGAACTTCCCCTGATCAAACGCTTAAAGATTTAGCTAAAATATACATCCCCGGGTCACAGAAAAAGATTTTAAATAACTGGTCCGCACCTATCTCAGGTGCCTAATGAAAGCTTTTTCATACTTTTGCATTTGTGCACATAAATACTTGTGCCAAGCCTCACCCAAATGAGGGCAGAAATGGGGACAGGCATGGGGAAGGGACAGGACCCAGGGGAAGGCTAGGCTTCTTATTCCCACCTGGAAAAACACAAACTTTTTCCTACCCTAACACAAGACATAAAGTTCATGTTACAGTCAGAGAACATTTGGGTTCCCGTTGCTCTGTTTGATTGCTAGTTCTATTTGGGGGGGGGGGGAGGCTTTTATTCAATCACATTTCAATTAGAAACAACAATCACAACAGTGACTGAAGCTAAGTGCCTGGTATGTCAAATTACTGAAGCTTGCCCAGGGCTTGGTTTCCTTCCAGTGCTAAGCCTGCTTCATCTGTGTGGTCCCAACTCCCTGGGTAGGAAACGGACTGAGAAACAGTTGATGAAGGTAGAAAGGGAGGAGCCAGCGAGTGAGCCGCTCCTGATGGCCAGGGTTCATCTCTGCGCCCGGAGCTCTCCCACATGCACCAGGATGCAGCCCTCGGGACTGAGGCCGCGGTCCTTTTGGAGGCTTTTCCCATGCATCTGAGGCCTCAGCAAGTTCTCTGACCTACCACAGTTTTGCTCTCCACTTTGAAATGCAAAGAGGAGACGGGACTACAGCCAGAAACAGAAGTAGAGTGCAGCTGGGTGATAGTCACTGTCATGCCACCAATCTGTGGCAGGGCAGCTTCCCGGTGGAGGCCCAGCCCTGTTCCTCTCCTCCCCGCAGCCTCCAGTGTGGGGGATCCAGCACTCACCCGGTATTTGTTGAGGTTGTGTCTCTCCACACAGGCCCCCTTGAGGCAGAATTTGCCCACGCTGCAGCTGGTGCCATCTGCCCAGGGGAAGTGGCGGGTCTGGCACACCATCTGCCCCTTGGCCTTGCCGGTGCACCACAGCTTGGTGCAGTACTGCATGTATGGACAGGGCTTGGAGCCCACGCCGAAGGCCAGCTCACACTGCTGACTCAGGGTGTAGCTGGTCCCCGGCAGGTCCTCAGGCAGGGAGAGGGGTTTGCTGGGCTGGTCCAGGAGGCAGTCACCTGCAGAGAGCAGAGGATATTTGTCAGGACATGGTGGAGAAGAAGAGGCTCAGCTGGCCTGGGAGCAAAAGGGCAGGAGAGAAAGGACTGAGGAGCTCCAGGAACGAACCCTGACATCAGGGCCCAGTTCTGTAGGGTAATTGCACTACTTGTGTACAGGAGATGGTCCAGAGAAGAAGGGAAGACCTCCTCGAGTGGCAGCCCCACCCTCCTGTCACCCTGGCTCACCATGCCCGCTGTCCAGGAAGTCAGTGATGATGGCCGCACTGCAGGCTGACCAGGGCTTGGTGCGGTCTATCTGGATGAGGGTTGGAGACATCATGTGGTTGGCTTGGAGCTTTCCAAAGACCTCCTCACACACCTTCACATTGTCATGGGGCATGTTGAACACGTGGCCTGTGGGGTGACATGGCAGGACTCAGAGCAGGAGTTCAGGGACACACAGAGCAGGGAGAAACCAGGGGGAACCTAGAAAGCCTGCGGAACAGTTTTAAAACTGCTCACTTGCACCTATCAATAGACTGCTTTGCAGGTGTCCTTTGCAGGTGCACCTCTTGTCTTTCTCATATTCTCCTTGCCATGCCCAAATGACAGTCACTCAGAAGAGGTATTCAGACCGTACTGCTGGCCAACTGGACTGGGGCAATCAGGAAATATAAAACAAAGGTACTGCCGATGCCAACTCCCCACCCCCAAAGCATCCAGCACACACCCAGAAAACCCCAGAGGGCAGCTCTTGCCCCGCTGCAGCCTTACCCAGCTCATGAGCAGTGGTGAAGGCTGACGGAAGCCCATCGTCCTCAATGACAGAGCAACTCCTCTTAGGGTCACACATGGTGCCCACATCCGCCATGCCCAGTGTGTCACATGTGGTAGCCCCACACAAGTCCTGCCAGGAAGGAGAGAAGCAGAGCCAGGATGAAGTTAGAGACAGTGACGGGAGGGCTTGCAGGGAGTAAAGGGCATCCTATGAGATGTTCTGACTCATCCCCACCAACCCCAACTAGGCCCAGAACTTCCAGCCAGGCACTCCTTGCTAAGGGGTTAGGATCTATATGGGATCACCCCCAGGGAGGGAAGAGACCTCAGGAAGAAAGTTCTGTGTTCACCAAGAATGCGCCCAACCCCACCCAGGGAGGACTTGTGGGAGGAAATTAAGAGGTACAAAATTAAACTGGAAGAGACACTGCTTTATATAGCGACAGCTCCAGACCAGAAACACAGTGCCTCCTGCAGCTGGGTGAGGTTCTGGTCAGAGCCACTGAGGCAGGCGGGGGTGGAAGGCAACTGTGCCCCAACCAAAGTCAATGTTGAGCAGCCTCACTCCTAGCTGAGCGACTGCCTTTTGGGCAACCGTGAATTAAGCCCTGATTCTTGGCCAAAGTATCACAGGCCAAGGCCTGGCCCAGGCCAGAGATCCAGCTCCATGAGCTGGGAGGAAACAGAGTGAGGAAGTTACAAGCCACACACAGTCAGATGTCTATAGAAACCCAAGCGTTGGGAGCGACTGAAGCTGGAAACAGGTGTGAGGGCAGGACAGAGCTAGAGTGCCTAGAGCAGTCAAGCTACCTCAGGCTTGAGAAAAGAACCCTGCCTGGACAATCTCAGCCATTAGTCGCTAGGCACCCTGGGTCTCCTGAATATAAATTTGCAAAGGCATAAATGAATGCCCCTACTGTTGCTGCCTGGGCCTTTGCCCATCAGATAAGCAGGCCTCCACTTGAACCCAGGTCTGTCTACCTTTTCCCCATTCCTGCCACAGCTTTGTCTAGGGTACACTGACAAACCAATGAGTCCTTATAGCATGGAGCCCACTAGCTCAAAGGCTGCTGGAAAGAAATGACAGGTAGACCATCACCCAAGGGAAAGGTATCCCCCTTTGTCTAAGGTCCTTGGGCTTAATTCCAAGGTCATCACATTAAACTACCCGCCCACCCTTTTTGAGGCAGAGTCTGGCTAAGTTGGTAAGTCCTAGCTGTTCATGCTGGCTCAAACTTTGGATCCTCATGCTCAGCCTCCAGCCTCCATGCTGGTATTACGGATGTACACTACCATGCAAGGTTAGGTCCCTGTTTTGGTGCTGAAGCTTAACTTGCTGTGCTAGCAAGGGCTTCTAATGGCACACTTTGGTGGAACGTATTCCCAGGGGATGCTGAAGGGCATAAGGAGGCTCCTCGAGCAGGTAATTCAAAGCTTACTGAGCACTGCAGGCTGGTGATACAATCTAAACACCTACAGAAGCCAGGAGCTGGCCTGGGAATGTAGCTCAGTGGTGTAAGCCTTGCATAGCAGGCACGAGGCCCTCAGGTGGATCTCTAGCACCTGCTCCCCACCAAATAATAATCCAGGAGTTGGAAATGCACTAATACACTCATGTGCCTTCTACTCTTCTTGAGAAAAGTATGTGTAGAGTCAGTGGGCACTAACATTCTCTGCGTCACACTGCCACCTTCAGTGCACGTGGCATTCTGTGGTAGGCAAGAAACAATCCCAGGCATCATCTGCCAAACAGCATCAGGAGTGGGGGTATTATTATATATAGTTGTCAAAAGTGGAAACTGAGGCTCAGGGTCTTAGCTAACACTATGACTTGGACCTTGATGTACTTCCAAAGCCCCATAGGCAGCGCTTTTCGAGATGCCTGGATCTAAGCATGAGAAGCTGGGATTAAGATTGCATGATTACTAAATCAATCCACCGACTGGTCTGCCACAGCTCTAGGTGTGGATAGGGGAAGGCCCATCAGGGATGTGGGGGCCCCACCCAAAGGGAGGGTAGCCGGGAAAGGACAAAAGCCAGGGGCAGGCTGCTGCTGCTGCTTTTCACTACTTGGCTGCTCTGGTGTCTTCTGCCCACCATGAACCGTTTCTCCTGTGCTGCCTCTCTGCTACGCCGCCCTGCCTTGGAGCCAGTTGACTATGACATGAAGAGCTACAGGAAACCTTTCCTCCTTTAACTTTGGTGTCAGGTATTTTGTCTCAGCAATGAGAAAAGTAACCCAGGCAGCCAACCATAGCCATGATTTCGCAAACACTGTGCATGCACTTCACGTGCATGACCCAATCTAACCCTCACAATAGTCCAGTGAAATAATGACTAATTTCCAAGACAAGGAAACTGAAGCCCAGCGAGGTTCAAGTACAGAGAGATGCACTGCATCTGTAGAATTGGTGCTCTTGCCTCCAAATCCCAGCTGACTGCTGTGCAACTTCTGAGTGACCCTGGGAGCTGTAGCACGCGAGCACACACGCAGAGCCATTCTGTTTTCTTTCCCCCTAGCGTAAGTGTCTGTGGCAGTGTTGTGATTAAGCATGTCTGTGCATTCACTCCTATGCTGACCTCAGGGAGCTGGAAAGCAGCGGGTCCGTGAGGTCAGGGGACATGGGAGAAAAAGTGGTCATAGTTCAGAAAATCAGCAAACTTTAATCCAAAGCACTCAGAAGTTTACCACCTGAGCGGTCAAACTCAGCTTCCCAGAGTCAGGTGATAGTCACACTTCCTAATGAGTTGACAGTTCTTCTGGCCAGAGCACCACGAGGGTGACCAGCCTGAACCCTGAGGGTGCTGGAGTCAGCGACAGGTGTCATGCATGCCCTCTCTTTGTGCAGCTGCCTGTGTCTGGACAGTGCACTCTGTCCACTTCCAGCAACCCAATAGTTGCCTTCCCTGTTCAAAGACTTACTCCCCCAGGAAGTTCTTTTTTACCAGAGTTCTAAAACGTCCAAGAAAACCACTGTCAAACTTGGGAGAGGAAGTTTACTGGAGCAGCATTTAGGGAATGCTCAACAGAGCAGTTTGTCAGTGGAGGAAAAAGGGAAGTTGAGGAAGGAGAGGATGATGCCTTGTGCCGTGGCACAGTGAAGGGGGAGGCAGAGGGCAGCAGAACCATGTGTCCCTTGGCTCCAAAGCACAAGATCCCAGCGAGCAAAGGCAGGTGCCTCTAGGAATGCTAGCTGTGTGCTTGCAGCCCACAGCAGAGCCCCCAGGACAGGCCTGCCCTGCAGCACCCAGCACACTCTCTGCTGAGCTCACAAGGGAAAGAGGACATAAGGACAAGAACTAAGAAGCCTGGATTCCGGTCCTGGCCTCATCACCAAGTGACAGTGTGGCTTTGACTACGTCCTTTCTTTTACCAGAGCCTCAGTTTCCTGCTCCAGGAAAGGACCAGTTCTCAGCCAGAACTCAGAATATCCCATCCTTCACACCTCTGTTCCTTCCCCATTCCCAGCTCATTCAGCTCCTCCTTTTGTGACCCTGAAAGTCACAAAAGGAACAACAGAATGACAAACTTTTAAGTTAAAAAAAAAAAAAAAACCTAAGCAGTAGCTGTCTCCTGACCTATGCATATAGTGCATAGCACTAATTTACAGAATAATGACAGTTCCCCCCCACCCGCTAGCACGCAGAGTGCCACCCCATCCCACTCCCCGGAAATGGCCAGAGCAGGACAGGAGTTCAGGCTGGGATCGCATGTTCTCCTGAGGCTGCCTCTACGGCACAGAGGTCCAGAAAGCCAAGGTGTCCTTCCTCTCAGGGAGGCAGGGTTCTCCCTAGAGCTAGGACAGGCAGCTGCAGGCCTTTCCCAGCCAGGAGCAAGGCATTCTTTCCATCAAGGAACCTAGCTTCAGAGGATCAAACAGGGGGCAAGGGCAGTGTGGACAGGTGCACGTTCCTGGAGGAGAGACGCCACTCTTGGGATCAGAAGCTCCGCCCGTCCCTGTTCTCCAAATCAGGGACGCAGATGAATTGTTGGCCTTAGTGCTCTGAACGCCCACTAGCCTTGTACAGAGGCCCAGTTTTGCCTCATTTGTGGCATTAAATGTCTCCACCCTTCTGGAATCAACTCAGAGACGCTCCAATGGCCTTAACCTTTTCAGCTCAAGACTTGATCAAAAATGAGAAGGGAGTGGTGGAGAAGGCGGGAGGAAGAGAGGAGGAAGGGAAACTCTTCTGTTCCTTGTGCCTGCAGGATGTAGGCAACTCCTTGCCCAGCATGTTGCAGGGGCCCCATCTACCGATGTCCTTTCTTTGCACACCCTGGCCAAGACTCCCCAGATGCTCCCTTCCCTACAGACTTCCTGTTTCCCATGTATGTACTGAGATGCCCAACATTTTCCAAGAATGAAGAGAGAGAAGGACTCATAAAAACTAAGCAATTTACATTTTTTGAATATCATAGAAAATACACACATCCCACGTAACTGAGTTCCCACTGCCTGACAGACAGAGCTCATCTCCGGGGCCACAACACAGCAGGCCACAATCACACTCACAGGGGTACAGAAAAGGCCACTCTTGCAGAGAGGGAAACTGAGGCACCTTGAGTTGAGATTCCATGCCAAGACCACACAGCTATCAAGTGAAGAACAAGGCCCTGAATCCACCCCTTGGACCCCCAGGCTGCCCCCGAAGTGTGCGTTGCTCCAGGTCCACCTCACAAGGGAGGCTACCGAAGAGCGCCTTGCGCTAATGTCAACAGTATTAACCCCAGTAGGGGAAGATAAATTCCCTTAACTCGTCTCCATCTGAACCTATGCCATACTTAGTCCTCACTGTAGCTTTAGGGAAGAAGCCAATATTAGGCCCCCTTTTACAGAAGAGACCCAGAGAAGGTAAGTAAGCAACTCAGCATCACACAGTGAACCACAAGTTAGAGAGAAGTGACAGAGACAGAAAGAGGGATGACATGGAGACAGTGTAGCCTTGAGGCTGGGTGCATACTGGGTCTCCCCACTGCTTCTGGGGTACATTCACCCAGTAATAAAGGAGCTAAGGGCTCTCAGGAGGGACAGGCAGCCTACTCCATAATGTCCTTTGCCAGAGCTTAGACTAGTGCTAAAGGACAGCATGAGGAGGCTCCCTGGGAGAGGCAAGCCAGGATTAAGTGCT